ACGTCAAGCAATTCTCTGCTATATGCCTCGAACTAAAACTTTGACCTTTTGCAACGTTTTGATTTAAGTAGCCTATTATTAAAATGATTCAGATATCGCACGCCGTTGCTATATGCATATCGCGATATTTACATTTGCGATATTTCGATAATTTCGATATATCGTGCAGCCCTAATCTAAACAAATTCAACAAGTAATGTTTAATATAACATTTAGATCAGTGGTTCTCAACCTTTTTGACACCAAGGCCTACCATTGTTCACACAACAATATTCAAAGGATGGGTAACGTTCCCAGCAGTTTGTTTTTACTGGATAAGGATTTTATCTTTTTTTTTTTTACTCACAAATTTATTTTTGATAAAATATTTTAGATCTTGGCATAACTAGAAAAATATTTATTTTTATTTTATAAAAAATACCTATGTATTTTATAAAAATAAAAACTATTAAAATTGAATTAATTTACATGGCCTTTCCAGGTCTTGAAATCACTCTTTTAAAATTAAGCTACCTCATATATATTCAAGTTTTCTAAGAAATTGAAACTGAAAATCCTGGTTCTTCAAAGAATAAAAAAATCAGTTGTTGAGGAGGTGAATTAAAATACAAAATATCTTGATTTTTAGTCATTTTAAAGCTTGTTTTGTCTTATTTTAAGTCATCTTGAGGCCCCCTTGGAAGTTTGCTAAAAGGCCCCTTAGTGGGCCCCGGGCCCCTGGTTTAGATCAATTTCTCAACATGTGGAGATTCAATTTAATTACTCACAAATTTATTTTTGATAAAATATTTTAGATCTTGGCATAACTAGAAAAATATTTATTTTTATTTTATAAAAAATACCTATGTATTTTATAAAAATAAAAACTATTAAAATTGAATTAATTTACATGGCCTTTCCAGGTCTTGAAATCACTCTTTTAAAATTAAGCTACCTCATATATATTCAAGTTTTCTAAGAAATTGAAACTGAAAATCCTGGTTCTTCAAAGAATAAAAAAATCAGTTGTTGAGGAGGTGAATTAAAATACAAAATATCTTGATTTTTAGTCATTTTAAAGCTTGTTTTGTCTTATTTTAAGTCATCTTGAGGCCCCCTTGGAAGTTTGCTAAAAGGCCCCTTAGTGGGCCCCGGGCCCCTGGTTTAGATCAATTTCTCAACATGTGGAGATTCAATTTAATGAAGTTTTAATGTAAATCACTTTCAAATCAATGAAAACTTATGCACAGAATTTTCGAAAGACTGACAATGAATTCATGAATAGCATTCCATTCTTTTGAATTGGATCTTTTCAATTAATCGGTTGAATCAGTTCACAAAACTGATCTGAATGATTCTACAAAGAAACAGAAATTTGCAAATGAATATCCCAGAAATTGCAATTGGTACATCTACTCTCTTTAAAATAATAATAAAAAAAGCTTACTCCCGTAATTATTAATAAAAGCAAAAAAGGGAGAAGTTTAAAAAAGCAATTTGCCAAATGTGTGGGAAGCCTGGTTTATGTGCAATAGGCACAGTACACTTTAAATAGGTGTAGCTTTAACTAGTGTTAAAAAGTCACTCATTAGCTGGTGACAAAAGTCGGTAAGTTAGTAAAAACGTAGATTGGCATTCTTCCAAGTGACACAGTAATGACCTGATGAATCATAAGCATTGTCTGCTTTCATTTAGTCTTCCACAGCACGTCTTTTATTTGTATTATCTCAAGCAGTTTTGAGAAAAAAGAAAACTGAGCACAGCTTCACGTTTTAGAAGAATCTTTCTCCTATGTAGGCGTGAGAGGAAAGAGGTTTACTGAGAATAGAACAAACATAAACACAAAGAGCCTTAGGCAACATGCATCATGTGCTTCTTTTTTCCTCCCGCTATCCAAAAACGTACATGCTAATTCAGTGTTTCTGTGATCATTCAAACCCTGTGACCTTTTATCTTTGAGCAGAGCATCAGCACAAGTTCTGTTTATATTCCACAACATGCAGACAGGAAATAAACAAAACCTGTTTGGATATGTGGAAAATCTAGATAAGATCTTCGCCCTATCCGTGACTCGCACTGTGCCATTGTTGCTGTTGTTTGGTGTTGAATTGATCATGTGTGTTCAAAATTCAAATCAATGAAAACTTATGCACAGAATTTTCGAAAGACTGACAATGAATTCATGAATAGCATTCCATTCTTTTGAATTGGATCTTTTCAATTAATCGGTTGATTAAGGCGTGAGAGGAAAGAGGTTTACTGAGAATAGAACAAACATAAACACAAAGAGCCTTAGGCAAAATGCATCGTGTGCTTCTTTTTTCCTCCCGCTATCCAAAAACGTACATGCTAATTCAGTGTTTCTGTGATCATTCAAACCCTGTGACCTTTTATCTTTGAGCAGAGCATCAGCACAAGTTCCTATGTAGGCGTGAGAGGAAAGAGGTTTACTGAGAATAGAACAAACATAAACACAAAGAGCCTTAGGCAAAATGCATCATGTGCTTCTTTTTTCCTCCCGCTATCCAAAAACGTACATGCTAATTCAGTGTTTCTGTGATCATTCAAACCCTGTGACCTTTTATCTTTGAGCAGAGCATCAGCACAAGTTCTGTTTATATTCCACAACATGCAGACAGGAAATAAACAAAACCTGTTTGGATATGTGGAAAATCTAGATAAGATCTTCGCCCTATCCGTGACTCGCACTGTGCCATTGTTGCTGTTGTTTGGTGTTGAATTGATCATGTGTGTTCAAAAAAAAAAAAATCAATTCAGGCTCTCATGTTCCCTGCTGTGTCCGGATATCAGTGTTGGCATGACATAATAATCTGTCAATGTTCTAAATATAAATACAGCGATATTCTATTAGTGTGCAACTTTTAAGAAGGCACAATGTAATCTATTTGAACTAATGCCTGACGATGTGTAATGTATACAGTAACATCCTATTCAACCGGCAACCCGCGGGTCAAATCTGACTCACGTGAGGTTGCCAGTTAACTCACCTAAAAATATATACTACTGTTCAAAAGTTTTTAATATTTATATTCAGCAAGGACACATTAAATTAATCAAAAGTGACAGTAAAGACATTTATAATACTGCCAAAAGTTTATATTTCAAAGAATGAAGCACGGTTTGCACAAAAAATATTAAGCACCACAACTGTTTTCAACACTGATAATAATAAATGTTTCTTGAGCAGCAAATCAGCATATTAGAATGATTTCTGAAGGATCATGTGACACTGAAGACTGGAGTAATGATGCTGAAAATTCAGCTTTGCATCACAGGAATAAATTACATTTCAAAATATATTACAATAGAAACCAGTTATTTCAAATTGTAATAATATTTCACAATATTAATGTTTTTACTGTATTATTGATCAAATAAATGCAGCCTTGGACAGCAAAAGAGACTTAAAAACATTTAAAAGTCTTACTGACACCAAAGTTTTGGATGGTAGTGTATGCAGTACCAACACTTATTTTTCTAAAACCTATTTCTTTACAGTGAATTTTTCTTTTATTTTTTATTTTTTGTGCATGACTAATGACGTAAGACTATAATGTCACAGGGGAGAATGTGCATATTCTCAGCTGTCAATCATTCAGTTATAAAACCAGTGTGTCATGTTTACAGTGTCAACATGTCATTCTCCAAGCAACTAACTATCAAAATGACCGGATGAAACTTACATAACATTATACACCTAGTACTGAAGTGTCTTTTGTGGGCACTCCTGCTTTATAGAGGTTTACTACTTTTTATAGCTAATACGCTTTACTCTTATGGTTATAAACCAATTTGTAAAGCAGTTTTGGTTGATACTGTAAATGTACTTGTTTAGAATTTCCTGCTAGATGAAAATGAAAGCTATTACACTGATCCTTAATTCACAGTGCAGACAATAAGCATCACACTATATAGCAGAACTTAAAGATGCTTAAAGATTTTTTTCACATGACTTGTTATTCAATTTGAGCATCTCTGTTCCATGCATTGCTACACCGGTCCTACACAACCTAGCAAACAAATTACAAATAACACAAATTAGTGCCGAGTGAACGATCCGGCAGTCTTTCAGTACACCGATTCCGATAAAGGATTCGCTTCCTAATCCAACATGAGGCCCCCCTCAAAGAGCCTTGTAGTGCCTAGGGTCAAAATGACAGACAGGGCCAGAGCTGAGAGTCTCTACTGCCTGAACACACACACACACACACACACACAGGTCTGAAAATATTTTTCTCCCACATTTATGAAGCTATCCCACAACTGAATGTACTAAAGCAAAATATTTACTCAAAAACATTCAAAATATTTACATTCTCCACAAGAACACTGGTAACCTGTTTCCTTTCTACTTGACTTATGCTGGCATAAACTAATGTATATAGGTTAATTGAGTGATGTTAAATAATATTTTTTACTTGAATAAAACCAGTTAATACACGTTATCATTTTAGGTTACTATTTTTGTCAGTGTAGCCTACTGAATGTTAATGACAGGAACTGCTCCGCTATGGTGCTACAAACAAAAACTGCTCTCATATAACTATTGCCATGATGTTGAAGTGTAGAATTTTGATATTGTGATTTGATTAAACTGTTTACCCACCTGTCCTTTCCTTTTCTTTTCTAAATGTTTCGTGTTGCATAACACATGTAGCTGCTCTATCTGTCAGTATTTGTCTCCTGACGCTACAGCAAACTAACTTAATTTGCATATAAATTTGCATACAAACATCCCTGGTATCCTATTGGCTGCTAGATCAACTCAAGGCCTACGGGTAGATACAAAACTGTCAATAAGCGCAGATGACTAACATGCGTGTGTTGAAACGATGATGGACGAAACTGTTTATCATTCCCACTTCAGTGTTTTAAACCGCCGACTCCATCGCTTCAAATACTGGTTGTGTGTATCCTCTGTTGTTGTTGTTGTTGTTGCCACGCTTCATTACTCCTTACGCAAAATACACAGTATGTGTTTGTCAGATGTGGCTCCTTACCTGAGAAATTCCTGCAGACAGGTATCACAGAATCGGTGTCCACATGTGGAAACTTGGACGGGTTCCCTCATTGCTTTGCTACACAGAGGACACTGAAAGCGTCTCTTGGGCTTCTCCAGGAATTTGTAGTCAAACCCCGGCATTGCTGGTATTTACAGTAAGCTTCTATAGGAACTGTCGTTTGTTGTCCTCCGCTTGGAAAGGAGCGGTGACAGAGTCCTTCACGGCGCGCGTGTGAAAACTAATATTCACTTGCCAACGACACACAAGCTCCCGTCGGTATTGTTCCGTCTCAGCTTTCTCTTTCGAGCAACACGGCTCGATCCAACATCAGGATGACAGCTTAAACCCAGCGATCTGTCTGTGGAATGAGGCTGTCAATGCAGCGCTAGTGCTCGTTGATGAACCGAGATGATGAGAAAGGTTCACAGCGCCTGTCGAAAATAACACTGACAGCCTGGAGACAAAGCTGGGATCCCATCTGTTTGGGCATATAAAGCCCCACCCACTATGCATGAGGGAGGAGCCTAATTTAAATCTCTCTCGGCCTCGCAGAAATCAGAAAGGCAATTTACAGTTATGTACAGTAATGTAACAAGTAAGGGGATTATTTAAATGCTTTACTGTAAATCATTTTCAGGATTTCTCTTGAGGGAAATTCTTCTCACAACCAAAGGGTCTTAGAAACTTTTTATCAAAACGTGGTATGCTTGCGATGTGTGCATGTTTTATCGAATTAAAAATAATGACCAAAATATCACTTTGGAATAAAAACAGCCCAAGATGGTTTTGGCTGGTCTAGCCTGGTCATAGGTGGTTTGCAGACTGGTTTTAGATGGGGTTTGACCACTTCTTTAGCTGCTCATGCTGGTCTTAGCCGGCCAGGCTAGATAAGCTGACCAACCAGCTAAAACCAGATGAACACCAGCTTGGCCAGGCTGGAAGACCAGCTTAATCCAGCTAAGACCAGCCAACCAGCATAGGCTGGTTTTAACTGTTTCAGCAGGGGTGCCCGTCTCCTAGTCTGACCAGCTAAAGAAGTGGTCACATCTCCTCTAAAACCAGCCTGCAAATTAGCTAAGACCAGGCTTAAAGACCATCTAAAAGCAGCCAACCAGCTTAGGCTGATTTTAGCTTGCGCATTTATGTATATATGTATGTATGTATTTATTTATTTATTTTCAGCAGGCACTATAATCTTTGTGCTTAACACAAGGTTGTATGAAAACGTTTATGTGCTTACATAAAAATCCCCTCTCCGCATTATTCACAGCCTGAATACACTGAATATAACTGTATAGGAGTTGTATTGCTCCACAATTTTACATTAATATGAAAAATATTAGATGTACATAAATATAAATGCAAATTTAGAACGTAAACTGATACAACTACATAAAAAGTGCATAAAATATTTATTAAAAACATTGTCATCATTATTAAAAACATCCATACAAAGGCAATAACTGGATTGTTGGAAACAAAAGGTTGCAAAAAGTTATTTGCAAGGCAAACGACTCCCTCTATCGGTGGAAAGCACACGAGATCCGTGCACGAGCAGACATGACGTCAACAGAACAACAGCACAAAAGATGGAATTAGAGTTATATAGTTTATTCGAGGTAGACTATTTAATAGTTCGGTTTCATTTAAACATATTATACTCTCGTCAACGTTTAATATGTTTTGCATAGAAAAGCGCGCGCTACATAAGTGACACGTTGTGAGCGTCACATATTGCACAAGAATTACATCATGATGATGGACGCATGAGCTCTGTGTATCCTGCCATGTTGATGGTATTCATCCGAGTACGAGTATGCTTTTTGATATGCATTAATATTCATATTTATTGTGATTGTTCTAGCGATAAAATAGTAGTAGTTTTGGTTACACTGCCTTAAGGTGTCCTTGTTACAGTGTAATTATATATTTAAGTACTGAGTAATATTAATTAACGTACTTATAGAGTTAGGGCTAGGTTTTTGGTTTAGTGTTAGTTGCAACTTGCAAGTAATTATGCATAATTTTCTGTTATTACTACAGTAAAACATGTGTGATAAGGACACTGTAAAATAAGTGTCACCATAGTTAATAATTGTCAATGATTATAATTACATTAACAATTAAACACTATTATTGTTGTTGTTGTTGTTAGCAATATAATTAGCTCTAAATTCTAAATATATATTTATTACTAAAGATTTAAGAATTTATTGTTGGCCACAAAGAAGAGTGCTCACATACGAACGGTCATAATGTTCAGGTACATATTTCTAATACACTTTAGAAACTGTGTTTTATGCAGCAATTTATTATCTCATTATTATAACTTTTTTTTCCAGTTTTTTTTTTCAGGCAGTCTGACCTTAGTGAGGAATTAAGCATTATTTACAATGGTTCATATTATTGTTATTATTATTATTATTATTAGCAGTATAAAGAATATATTATTCTAAACTATAAATATATATTTATTACTAATGCTTTTTAAATCATTTATTTTTGTCCACAAGAGCCCTCGTAATGCCCAGGCAGTATTTATGATACACTTTAGAAACTGTGTTTTAACAATTTCAATTATTGTTCAATTATGTGTTAACATAAGAAGCACATAATTATCTTCATATAGTTGTTGTTTTTGTTTGTTTGTTTGTTTCAGTTTTTTTCCTAATCGGGCATTATTTACAATGCTACATAAAAATAATAATTATTATTATTGTTGTTGTTGTTATTGTTATAAAAAGCTTTACATACAGTGTCTGTTACATTATAAACACAACTGCATAGCTTAACATTCCTAATGAATCCACACTGGTGTCCTCATGGACAGGAGCTGAGCGGCTCTTCTGCGGAGTGTGTGCAGTAATTTGGGCAGAGGCAGTGATGTCACTTTGGAACAGGCTCTTCAAAAAATGCTGAGGAGAGAAATGATGAGGGAGAGTGTTTTAACAATGACAACAACCTCTGTAATTCCAAATCAACAGTAGATAATTACAATAAAGACATTACAATAAATGTCCATTCAAGAACTGTTAACATTCATAAAAGAAATTATGGCTGCACATTACGTTTCACAGCCAACAGTGTGTTTCCATGGCAACAAGCCACTGACGTGACAGTGTAAGGGTGGCTCTCATCGAGCTGCACTGCCTTTGGTTTCCCAGAATCCTCTTCTTTCCGTCCAAGCCGACCACGTGCCCCTTTACCCCAGGTGTACACTTCCCCCTCTGCCGAATCAAGGAGCAGAACATTTACTCACAATTCTGAACATCATTTGGCTGAATGACATCTTTGTCCTTCTGTTTCTTTGCATGTCAGATACTGTGAGAATCATGAATGAACAAAGACAACATGAAACAATAAAGGTCCTCGGAGTCTTGTAAGCCTCTGGGACACAGTCGGGGTTACATTCTGACCTTTAGCCACATGTCACATTAATGAACCCACCTGCCCCCACTAGAGCTCATTCTGTGTCTGAAGCAGTTAATGGCGTGATAGCAGCCTTGTCTGAACTGCATTGCCATTATTTTAGCTGCTGTAGTTTTTTGCCTGTATAGTTTGGTTGCCAGGTCTAATTTAATTCCAAAAAAAAGAAAAAAAAAATTATGTTATATTAGTTTAGATACTTTGCTTTTTAGCCTATTTTTAAGACCATTAAATATTCTTCTTTGTATTGTAACATTATTTTCCACCAATTGTCATTAACGTATAAATTTATATTATATTATATTATATTAAATATATTATATTATATTTAGTTTTTTGCCTGTTTTTAGGGCCATTACATTTCTTTGTATTGTGACATTATTTTCCTCCAGTTGTCATTAACATACTGTGTAAAAAAGGTGTAATTTTCACAGTAATTGTTTTTTTATTTTGTAATCTTATCACATAAACTAAAACAAGAATATAATAAATTCTTAATCTTCTCCATCCACCCCCCAAAAAAAAAAACATGTAGGCCTATTTATATATTTATTGAGTTGAGAATTTATGTTACATTTTTTTTTAAGTAACTTTTTTTTTTCATTTGAAATTATAAGTTGAATAATTTTTTAAGTAAAGTTTTTGAATACGTTTTTTTCATTTGATTTTAGGGTGAAATAGGACCTGTTTGGTGAGATTGACTAATACATATGTCTTGTTTACCTGCTCCAATAGCCAGAGTGAAAGCGTCGCCACACGCGGCCATGGAGATCCCCTGCAGTCCTGACACTTGATAGGGCACTCGACTGCTTCGGCGAGAACTGCAGCCAAGCTGCCCATGCTGGTTACTGCCGAAGGTGAAACACTGACCTTTCTCTGCATTTAGGGCACATTCATAGTTTATAAGTCGATCCTCAGACTAAATCATAACAGCACACTGAACTGTAGTGTAAATGAAGTGCTCTGACCTGTGACTGCAACAGAGTGTGCTGTGCTGATGTCTATATACACAATCTTCTCAGCATTTAGAGGAGCCGACTGGACGGGCTGGAACGTGTGGACCTCCTCCACCTGACAGTGAGATGGGGGCTCCTCTGCGCCAGAGACCTTATCCAAACCCAGCTTGTTAAATCTGCATTTAGGAATTTGAGTTATTTATTTATTCAAATATCACTTTAGCAGCCCTATGTGAAAAAGAAGTGCACTTAATTGTCTTGCATGTGCACTTGTAGTGTACTTCAATTCTTAAAAGTATATTTTTGAGTAAAAATGTTTAAGTATAAAAGTATAAAACTATACATGCAGATGATATAATATTAATAATGAAATACAAGGTCGCTTAAGGGCACTTAAAGAGAGTACAATTTCATGACTATATTTCTAAAAAAAAATACTTAAGAATTTTTTTTTTTAAAGTGCACTTTGTAATAATGTTAAATTTTAAAATTTACTAAAATTTACTTAAAATAAAAATATTTTTAATAAGGGGACCTGCAACTGTTTGTTTCCCAACATTCTTCAAAATATCTTCTTTTATGTTCCACAGAAGAAACTTGTGCAACTTTGGATCAACATGAAGTTGAGTAAAAAATGACATAATTTTTATTCTTGGGTGAATTATCCCTTTATATATTTACATATAATTTTTTAAGGACATTATTTCTGTAATATGTACTATTTTGTATGCTACAGTGTACTTCACAACCACATCTGGTAATTCTGTAAGAATTATAAATTCTTTAGAAAAATACATGTGGCTGACAGGGTGTGACTGTTATTTAAAATATGGACACTGTGTTGGTCATTTCCTGTGATGAAATGTCTTCAGCATTCACAGTCCTTTCAAATGCTAGAACAGGAATGAGGAGTGTTAACTCCCTAAACTGGTTTGGCAAACTTTGAAAAACTGCCCAAGACAGCTAAGAAAGAAATTCATTGAGATATTCATTATTATTTATAATTGTGATTAGATTCATGACAGGTTTAAAATACACTTTGAGGCTCATTAACCAGCAACACAATGAAATCTTCATACTTCAACCA